GAGCCATATTGAGCCATCTTGAGCCATCTTGGAAGTCATCTTGGGCTCGCTGAGGCCCTCCTAGAGCCATCTTGGGCCACCTTGGACGCTCCAACGACCCGCGACCCCACCCCTCCAGGTCCAGGGGAGGGAGTAAGGGGGAGGGGTAAACCCCTCTCCGAAGGGGAAGAGGGAGGGGTGGAAGAGGAAGCGCGCCAGACCACCCACGCCCAAAGGACTGGTGGGAATTTGCGCAAAACGATCGTATCTAGACTTGTCCCTGGGTAATTATGGCTCCAAACAGTGCTTGCACTTAGGGTTCCCGACTTCGTTTTTAAGGTAACTGGGCCCCGGTACCACGTCGGCCGGCTTATGGCCGTCCGTCGCCGCCGTCTTTCGCCGCCGTCGCCGTTTGTCGACGCCGTCCGTTGCCGCTGTTTGCGCGCCGCGTTGCTTTGCATTCCGCTGCCTTGCATCGCGTTGCATCGCCCTGCATTGCTTTGTAGTTGTGTTGCGTTTCTTCGCAGTGCGGTGCATTGTTGTGCAATGTTTTGCGTTGCATTGCTTTGCCTTGCTTAGCACCACATGTGTTGCGCAACCTAGATTGCACCACAATGTTAGCCCCACCTAGATTGCACGGCATAGATTTCAAGAAATCACCCGGTGGGGTCCATGTTGGCTAACATTGTTTGTTTATTCGTTGATAGTTCGCGTGGTTCAGGTGTCTCTCGTTCGCGTCATCGTACGAGTGGTGGTCTCGCTTTCCCTGCTCAATGACCGTCCTTCGTCTTCCTGCCCAAGCGGTTTTGCCTTCCCTCCCGCGTTCGATCCTCCTCGTACCATGTCTTTTTCACGGATACCTACATTTATCACATCCGCGCATCTGGTTGCCCTGGCGCTGGCCACGCTTCTACATGCCCAACGGGTGTTCTGGCCCAATTGCGGGCTGCTCGGTTACTATCTGAAAGGTCGCGCCGTGGGCTGTCTTCAAACGTCGCGCCTTGTCGCCTTGCGGCTTTGCGCTTGGTGTCGGCCATGCTCCCGATTCGGAATTGTGCTCTCGACTCGGCAGGGGCCGTATACTCAGATCGGAGTGATGGTGCTGCCCCGTGCGCTGGCTCTTCCCCAGGGGCTGCGCGGTGGGGATACCCAGATTCGTGGCCTCGTCGTCCGGCCGCTCCTGCCATGGGGCCGGCCGCACACCCCGCAGGCGCAAGCAGACTCCCAGGTCGGAGCTGCGATCCCAGGGCAAAGCCCGCAGGGCCGCGCGGCGCGCACCGCGGCCCCCTGGCTGGAGGGGCGCTCCTTCCACCGAGTTTCCCGATGCCGTTGACGTCGCCGTTGCGTCAACACCGTCGCCAGTGCATCGACGAGGCGGCGCGACCCTGCGACCCCACCTGCTCGGACCCCACACTCAAGAGGCCTCGGGGGGCTCTGGGACTCCGCGTGCCGGCAGATCTCTCTCTTTGGGGGGTGGCCTCGGTCGCGCGGTGGCTCATCGCCCTCGCGTCTTCAGGAGGGAAAAACACACACAGACAAACTGAATCGTCGAGTCCCAGGACAATATGCGAAAATATGGGAAGTGGGGGGGAAGACGAACATCAAAAGAAAATGGTAAAATATGGGGGATCCTGGGATTTGTGTGTATTCCTGCGTGTGTCCTTGGGCTCCTTCACTGACAGATTTTTGGCTCGGGGTGTCGTTCTCGCCTCGTTGCCCAGTCACGTCCCCGCTTCGGAGTGGTGCTGGCTCCCCCGAGGGGTCGAGCAGCGGGTGATCAACGACACGGAAGGACGGGTGGGAGCCCTCCGAGCCGGGCGTTGTATTTTTCCCAACCATCCTGTGGTGTTGGGTCCTCGTTTTGAAGGGACGGTCCCCGCGTTCTCCTCTCCTCCTCCTCCCCCTCCTTCCTACCGTCCGCATGCGCCCCGCACACCCAGTACAGCGTTTCGTGGCCCTCCCCCCCCTCCTCCCTGCGTTTCACCCACCCAGTAGAGCGCTTCGTGGCCCCATAGGGAGCCCCACCGAAGGTCCCAGGGCTACCGTCCGCATGCTTCCCGCACGCCCAGTACAGCGCTTCGTGGCCCCATAGGGAGCCCCACTGAAGGTCCCAGGGCTACCGTCCGCATGCGTCCCGCACACCCAGTACAGCGTTTCGTGGCCCCATAGGGAGCTCCACCGAATGCCCCAGTGCCCCCGTCCGCATGCGTCCCAGAAGCCCAACTTGGCATTTTCACGCACGCAGTGCAGCGTTTCGTGGCCCCATACGGGGCTCCACCCAAGGCCCCAGTACCACCGTCCGTACGCGTCCAGGAAATGTAATTTGGCATTTTCACCCGCGCATTGCAGCGTTTCGTGGCCCCATAGGGGGCTCCACCGAAGCCCCCAGTGGGATTGTCCGCATGCGTCCCGGAAACACAATTTGGCATTTTCACTCAGTCAGTAGAGCGCTTCGTGGCCCCATAGGGAGCTCCACCGAAGCCCTCAGTGGGACCGTCCGCATGCGTCCCAGAAACCCAATTCGGCACACCACCCACACAGTACAGCGTTCCCCCCCGCCCAGTGCAGCGCTTCGTGGCCCCATAGGGAGCTTCACCGAAGCAGATATTCACAATTACGGTACCCACAACTGCATATGGTTGGGACCTTCGCCAGGATAATTTTCACATCGGGCGTTCTCGTTGGGTTTCGGGCCCCTGACGAATGACGCAGAAAGATTGGGTCTAATGTTCCAGTCGCTATTTTTCGCGATGTTGCATATGTTGCGATGTCGGATCTCAGGGAGGACGGGGCAGCAAGTAGCTCCACGACCAGGACGAGAGGGCAGGGTGAGGATGAGGAGGGAGGAGGTGGACGGTGGGAGGGAGGAGGAAGAGGAGGCGGAGAAGGAGGACGAAGGTGAGAGGAGGGGGCGCGGGACGGACGAGGAGGAGAAGAGTGTAGGGAGAGAGGGAGGGAAGCGGGGAAGGGCAGAGAAGGGGAAGCATGAGGAGATGTGATGATGTTGATGTTTTCGATGACGGTGATGTCACGGAAGTAATGGTGGTGGTGATGGTGCTCATGATGACGATGACGATAGCAAGGATGATATTGATTGTGAGTGTGATTGCGACAGTAATGGTGAAAGTGGTGGCGGTGATTGTGATGACGATGGGTTGACGGTGATGGTGACAGTGATGATGATGGCGGTGATGATGGGTGATGATGGTTGTAATGATGAGTGTGACGGTGATTCTGATGGCGACTGTCATGGTATAGCAGGAATGTTTGTGTTGATGATGAGGATGGGGAGGAGAAGGACGAGGAGGAGGAATAGCAGGATACCCCTCCACCCCTCCCCCCACCCCTCTGCCGCGGCTTGCCCAGGGATCATCGCAGCCTGGCCAGCGTCCCCTCGGCAAGGACCCCGCCAGCATCGCGAGCGTGAAGAGCGTGGGAAGAAAGCCAGTCGAGACAACTGCGGCCCTTTCTGCTGATAGTGCCCGTCATTTTTGGGCGTCATGGTAGCTTCTCGCCGCCACGGCATAATCCGTCTCAGCAGACGGGTTGGGATACAGTATAATCCGATTGTAAGGATGGGTAACCTTCCCCAGGTTACCCTTGCATCCTTGCCTCTTCGGTCCATCCTTGACTGCGTTCGATGGCCAGCCCCGCTCGAAAATCTTCGACATGGGCGTCCACGGGGCTTGCATCCGCATCGTGAGTTCTTACTATCATGTGACTGTAGACCCAGGAGCGGTTCGAGTTTGAGTTGATATGGTTCCACGAAGGCCGCCGTTGTCTCAATGAGCCCATATCCGAGAAAAAAGGGGGTCCCGAGGAGGAGGAGGAGGAGGAGGAGGAGGAGGAGGAGGAGGAGGAGGAGTGCAGGCGCCGCTGGCGGCCCACTGCCGATATCTAGATGGGTTGACACGCGAGCTGAGGATAACTGAAGCAGTGGCGAAGCATCCAGGCTTGCCTATAGGCCCACCAAAGAATGTTCCACGAACCTTTTGTGGCTTGCGCGAAATGTTCTTAGACCAGTTCTAGCTGAGACGGTACTGTTTGAATTCATCGGCTCTCAGATTCGAAGAATATTGTTTTTGTTTTTCTATTTTTCAATTCTAGGAAAGGCCTATAGGAATGACGGGGCGGTCGGTCCTTGCTCAAAGAACGGTCAGGTTGGGCGGTCTGTGTGGCTCGCGATGGGCCCCCTTTCCCAGCGTGCGTGGCACGCTTGGTCGGGGGGTGGTGGGGGAGTCGGCGACAATCCACGATCTGGATTAATGTGTGCCGATGTATCATTGCCCTGTCATTGCCCTGGATGGGGGGGGCGCCGCACGGTCAAGTCTGCCCCACTCGCTCCTCGAACCATTTGCGTCACGTCTTGCGCCCCTTCAGCTTACTGTTGCCCTGTGCGCGCCGCGAGATGAAGCCCCCCGCCCGCTTCCCCGTTGCCTGGCCCCCGCTCCTTCCCCTCGGTGCGCCGCCTCACGTGTCTTGCCAGTGAGGGGGAGGCCAGTAACGCGAGCGGCGAGAGGCGCGAGCAGGAGAAGGGACAGCGAAGACAGGGACAGGCGAATAATAATCGACTGCGTAAGAATACACGTTCGATTGTCTGCTGGGCTTTCTCGGATCGGCGCTTGGACCCCCCTGACGGAGCCTCGGGCGCCGCCTCTGGTGCGCTCCATGCTCGGACCTTTGAACGTCCATGCCAATGCCGCTTGTTTCACTGCCAGAGAGCCACGGGACAGGCCGGAGATGTGGTCCAGCTCGAAGGTCCCTGGCGGGCGTTGCCGAGCAGAATGGAGGAGGGAAATGTGCAGGTGCGCAGCATCGTCTACTTATCCCCATCCCCATTGGGTCATGGCACTTCAGCCCCGCCAGCACACCCCGCCAGGTGGAAATGAATCCCGCGAGACCCGAATGAAACAGAACATATCCCTCTCTGGCGGAGTAAGTCGGTCAGCGGGGCGAAGGCCGTGCCAGTGCGGGTGGGGATCCGTTCAACCATGCCCAGCAGGTGCGCGTCTTCGGGCTCGGGTTCAAGCCACGCCGCCAGCGGCGCGTGGGCGGCGGGCGTGCGCGCGGCGAGGGGGAGGGAAGGGACGCGTGCCCGCCCCCCCGCCGCCAGCAATGCCTCTGGATGAGGACATCTCTGCGCTCGTCGCCTCCGCCGCGGACCCCCAACGGAGATCGTGCCAGGGGCAACGTTAGGGGTGGGGGCGGGGATAGGCTCAGGGGGGAGCGCATCGCACATTTGCCCGCCGACAGGGGCCTGGTAGCCCACGCCGCCCAGGAACGTCCGGATTCTTTTTGTTCGGGGGGCCTATCGCCGATCTGTCGACGATGTGTCGTCGACTCCACGTCGATGTTTCCCCTCCATGAGCCAGGCGACCCCGTAACATTCCCACTGACCCGCTCAAGAGGGTGGCCTGCGCAGGCGTGGCCCCCAAACGGACACACAACTGCGCAGACACTTGTGGAGGTCCGATTGGATCTCTTGGGTGGGCGATGGGACCCCCCCTGCGGCGTTTGCAGCGCCGCCCCTGGCGTGCTCCGCGCGCGCCAGGGAGCAGGGTCCAGCATCGATCCAAGAAGTCCACGCTGACCCTCGAGAGTGTACGGGTATACGTTGATGTATTTCGATGTTCTTCTCTAGTGGCGAGCGCAAGCTCGGTCTGCCCCTCTGCCTGAGTCCTTGCGGCTCGATCTTTCATCTGCAATCCTGCCAGAGTGGCAGAGTGTCACACGCTGACCTTCGGACGGTTGACGCCAAGGCATTAGCGAGACCGAGGTTGCGTGCGTTGAAGCTCTTTATGTTATCTCTGGTTTTCCCTCCATCGCAGTTCCTCAGTCATTCTGCCATCCCCTCACACGCCAGCGAGAATTCGGCGGATATTGGAACTCACCAACTCGTTTCGGCAGCAGCACGCCCTGCCCCCCCTGATGCACCACAAGGCGCTGGCAAGGGTGGCGGCAAAGCACGCCGCCGACGTCGCCGACGGTGCTGCGCCGTTCAGCCACGCCGCGGCGCTCAGTAATTAGCGCACTGGCGGAGGAAAAGCGTGCGCCAGAGTGCCCGCGCTGTGGGAGGCCACTCGGACGGAACCCGCCCGCGACACGACCTTGCCCGCACCCACCTTGTGCCGATCGCTTGATCGGATCAGACGCCCCGCGGGCGCGGTCGCATCGCCCCAGGCGAGGTCGGTGTATCTGGCGACACAAACCCATACCCACAGGGAGGAGGGGGGCCATGTGTGCGTGTTGTCGGGTGGGTGTCCTCGCTCGAACGCCCCAACCCCCCCCCCCGCGTCCAACAGCCCGCGCCCATATAGCCAGTCCTCCTTCTCCCGACCCCCTTGTGTATGCTGCTCGTTCGTCAGGATGGGCCAGGGGCCCGCGGGCTCGGTGCCGACGAGAGGGGCGTGTCATCGCTCGGACGCGTGCACTGTTCTCGGCGAGGCCAGCTCCAGAAGATCTGGACCCTCTTGGAGCAGCTTGGACCATTTCGGAAAAGAGGATATGCACGACACCAAGCAGTGCACGGAGAATGGGCGTCCGAGGGATGGCAGGGGTGGGGGGACAGAGGCACGAAATCTGTTCCGTGCAGCGGTTCTCGGCCGCGCCGCCGAGCGCTCTCCTCGACGCACTGGCGCCCCAGGATGCGGCAGGCGCAAGGGGGAACCAGCTAGCTACGTGAGCCGATTCTCAGACGAGGACAAGGTACCATTTTCCCTCGTTTTCCCCTTTCTCAGTTGTACCGCTACCGTTCCTTCGTTTTCCCCTTTTTGGGCCTCCTGGGAGGCCCTCGTCGCCACCGCTGGATTCGCCTCGAAATGCTGGTCAGAACGCGCCCCGGGAGACGTCCGGGGAGTAACGGTATCGGTACCTTTCGGTTTCCCCAGATTCGCTGAACCACCTTGTCTACCCTCCCCACCACTTTCGTCCGACTCCGCTGGCAAGTAGCGTGGGCGAGCCGCGCACCGACCGTGCACGCCTGCCTCTGCGTCTCGCTCCAGCGCGTGGCCGATCCTTACAGATCACCCGCTGGTCGCCCGAGCACCCCCGGCGCGGCCGGGGACGCTGGGTGCTCCTGCGGTGGGACCGGCGGATCGGGGAGAGACGCGGCAAGATGGCGCGTTCCCTTTGCGACTCCGCGAGGTCGCTAGGCTGGGTCTCTCTGGGAACCTTCTCGGGTCGGACCCGGATTTGTGACCACATCCGTTTCTTGCGGTCCTGTTCTTCAACAGGCCTCTCGGGGATTGTACGCGGCCTCCTCTTCCCTCGTCCCCCAGGACGGAGAAAGCTGCCGCCTCCAGCTCTCTCCAAAGACAGGTCGGGACCCCGAGGGGGAGTTGATCAGCCCATAGCGGCACGCTGGTCGGTCACTCGGGAGGGAGAGCCACCCTTGTCCCCGGCCTCCGCGCGCGGGCAGGGTGTTTGGGTGCCCGCGCGCAAGCGCTCGCGCGGCCATCGCTTCCATCCGCACACGCAGGTTGACCTTGTGGCTTGGCCTGCCGCTGCGGGGGGGGGGCTCGTCGCCAGGGCCAGAGTTCGCTCGTTGAGATACTCGGATGGAGCCCAGTGGCATTCGGCAAAGCCCGCCACCGTTTATGGATGGGCTCTCGGAGGCATGTTTGGGGCCTCTCGGATGTCTCCTTGGGAGCCTGGTGGGGGTGTCCTGGCGATCTCGGATGCCATCTTGGGAAGGCAAGCTCGAAGTGTAAGTTCCATTTCCCCCTCTTGGGCCATTTGGGGGCCTCTTGCGCCGTCTCGGGCGCTCACTCGACACAAAAACCGTAGCTGGTAAAAATTACAAAGACCATGGATGTTCCAATGATTGTGGCCTCATGAGCTGGCCACCAGGGCTCCGAGGCAGCCCAATATGCGCCCAAAAAATGGCTCAAGAACGGGCCAGAGGACCATACTAGGCCGTGCTGGAAGTATGGGATCCCAACCACGCTGCCGAGCCCTGTGGGAAAGTTGCACGATCGGCCCCGAAAGTCCTGCTGGAAGCTCGGGGAAATCCATTTGGTTTTTTTGGCCCCGAAAGAAATACGCATTGCAATGCTCCACTGAGTGCCTACTGCACGGACTCACAGCACTGTGGCGAATCTGGGATATTTTCGGACACCGATCTTGGTCTGACCCCCTTGGTGGAGCGAAAACGAAGGGCACCTCTCCGATCGCCCCTTCGATCGGGGCTAATGCAACAGCCCAGCTGGGCGAAGCTGACCTAGGCCGGAGCGCCCGAGCGCTTCTCATCGTGCCAGGGGGCGCGGCGGCCAGGGAGGACGAACTCGCGCACGGCTAGTTTCATCTGGAAGCACGGGGCCAGAGGCGCAGTCAGGAGCGGCCTTGAAAGGCCACGCTTTGAAGCAAGCATCCCCGGCGCTTGTTGGTTCTGAGAATGTTTTTCATGTGTTTTGCCTTTTGGGTCGAAGGCCCTTTTTAAAGCAAGGCACCTATCAACACGTTCGCGCCGCGTCGACGCGGCGGCGACTCCTGGCGCGGGCGCTCAAGATGGTGGCGCAGACTCAGCCGATATCGAACGATGTGCGCTATCGGAAGTCCGCGATCGTTCAAAGTTAGAGGACCCACGCTGTGTTAGAAGCCGACGCCGACCTTTCAGCGATTTGAACTTGCCGTAGAGACGTCTCAGTGTGTTCACCGCTTTCGGGATTGACGTGTTCGGACGCTGGAGGGTTCCTCGTAGCCACGGCTGGACTCCTCTCGAAGGGCTGATCGGGGTGATGTTTTGGAAGATGCTTGTCCTGCCCCGCTCTCGAGTCGGTCTGCCGCAAGCTTGCCCCCAGGTGGGTGAACGTTGCAGAAAACCTTGCGAGGTCGTTGGGTACTTGCAAAGCTGAGTTTGAGAAGGCGGAGGAGGAGAAGAAGGACAATGATGAGGATCTGTATGGAGAGATGAGGAGGAAGAGGAGGAAGAGGAGGTTCTGGAGGCGACGCGATGCGCTCATCCCCGATAGGGGGTGCGAAGGGCTCTAGCCTGCTTCGGGAGGAGGGGGGATGAGGAAACAGGGGCAGGAGTTTGTGAAGGGCAAGGAGAAGGAGTGCGGAGCAGTTGCAGAATGAGGAAGACGAGAGAAGCCGAGCAAAGGAGCAGAGGAATGACGTCGGGCGGAGGGGGCAGCTTTACAGTCGAGCAAGTGTTAGTCAATCTGACAGTCGGAAACGAAGGGTGATTCAATAGGACGCTTCAGGCAGTTCCCCACAATGGCGTCACTAACCCGATCCTGGTCGGCATCGTTTGTTCATGGGCATGAGCTTAAGAAGCTGTTGAAGCCTTCTCACCGTCCTCCTTTCCCCCCTCTGGATTGATTGATCCGTTCGCTACGTGGGAGACCAGGACTGAAGGTAAGAGGGAAGCGATAGGCGAGCCAGCCAGGAAGTAGACGGTCAGACACCCACAGGAGAGTGAGCGACCACCAATCCCACCAGGCACGAATACTGCTAACTCCGCCAACCAATCGAAGCCTGACAAGTCCTCGCAGGAACTCAGACAGCGGCACCAGCTTTTCCCAGCTGTGCCAGCCCAGCTGAAAGATGCGGGGCCGAAAGACGCAACATGTGGGAGTCGGCAACATATTTCAAATGCAGTAGGGTCATGTTCTGTTTGCAGGGGGTGAGGAGTACGTCGTATCACGTATCACAGCAGCATCCGCGAGTTAGCGTTCCCCGCGATCCATGACCCCCTCACCACCACCCCAGTCACGAAAAGTCAGCAGGCGGCACCAGCTCTTCAATAGGCACCCCACTGGGTTGGTGGCTGGAGTGCAGCCCATGTTGGATGCGGTCAAGATTGGATGCAAGGTGGGTGTAAGACGGGCCAGTTTTGCAGCCCTGTGCCAACATGCCTATCCGCACGCCCTCACTTGAGGCTTCGCAAACCACATGTATCAAGGTTGTGGCCCCGTCAGGGGTGCCAGTGAGAAACATCTGTACCCTCTTAAAGTCAGCTGCCACTGTCAGTAGCATGACGCACCCATCTGAACAAATCGGGGCGCATTCTGGCCAGCACTCCGAGGCCCTCGAGACGAGGGCCACCAGGACGCCCCGACGGGCGAACGTGAGGGACGGCGTCATCGGCATCATTATTCTCTTTCTCCTCTGGGAACCTCGCGTTGCCTCGATCCTGTCAGAACCACTCCCTGAAACGTTTCCTGGCGGGTTCGGGGCAGATCTCAACACCTCAACCTCGGGGCGCGACCCAGGGGAGCCGCCAGAGGCGGCGCCAGCGTGTTGAGACCGCCCCGGACTACTCGGGGGGCCTTTCGAGGCTAGCGGGTGCTACCTGGGGAAGGTTGTCAGTGGGCAGCCCGAAGCCTTACCAACGTGAGCTTCTGTTGCCGCCTCCCCCTTGACTCGGGGCCCCCCAAACGGTGTGGTGACCACACCGCGTGGGGAGTCTTTGGGGATTGGGACTCGGGTCGGTCTCCGAGGACGTCTCGGGCGACCCGGTCCCAAAACGGTGTGATGACGGACCGCGCGGTGAGGTCTTTTGGGTTCCGTGGTCACTACGCGGTCCGTCACCATACGGTTTCGGCCCCCCGGATTTACAGACTCCTCCTTTCGTCCGACCCGAGTTCCGCCCCCATTCGGGAGGTCCGACGGCTTCGGCAGAGACGAGCTGCCGCAGGCCGCGCAGCAGGGCGGCCGGTCTAAATAGTGCGCGGCCGAGAGGGGTCGGCTTGGCCGCAGCGCTGGGCCGCCACAATCCCCGACGGCGAGGAGGAGGAGGGGCGAGGGATCGAAGGATCGAGGATCGCAGAATCGAGGGTAGAGTTTCGACGCTGTGAATGGAGGATCGGGGGAACGAGGATCGGGTTTTGACGACGTCGATCGAGGATCGAAGGGCCGAGGATCGAAGGATAGAGTATCGAAGGATCGAAGGATGGAGGTTTGAGGATGTGCACCGAGTTCCGAAGTTCTGGGAGGGTTGAAGAACAGAGAAGAGCAAACGCTGCCGTTGGTAGCCCGTCAGCGTGTTACATCATTCGTTTGTTGTTCGAAGACCTTGTGTTTCGTTTCCTGGCGATCACCACCCACCAAACCACCCCAACCCAACCCGTGCCCTCCATTTCCAGTGGGGGGGGTCGGGAGACATTGAAAAACACATGGAACCCGTACCCCCCACAACCCGAAATTCGGGGAAAATTGGGGTCTTCGGGTTGGGTTGGGGTGGTCTGGTAGGTAGTCAGTAACGCGCTGATGGGTTCTCCACGGCGGCGTGCCATTGAGAATTGTGTTTGCTCCCCGATGGTCTCCCCTCCAGGGAGATGCTTCTCGCCGCGGCAGCGGCCAGGCGCCCCACGAGATTGTCAGCTCGGCGCATCTCTGGACGGGTTTTGGGGCGGACGTTTGAGAGGGGGGAGGCGGGCAGGAGAGGAGCATCGAACAGATGGCGCCGTACGCTTTCCGTCTTGGCCCTGGGGGCTCATTCAGGGCCTTGGGACTGAAAAGACGATCCCGGAAGAAGATCTGGTCAGGATGTACCCTGGGAGATGTCCAGGAATTGGTCTTGTGAGGATTTCGTTGGTCGAGGAGGGAAGGTGGATGAAGATGAGCGATGGGAGATGAGGCGGAGAAGGATATCCATTGCCCACGACGATTGCAGTCCGCGGCGCTGATGGTATGGGCCATGCGGCTCACTTCCCAGGCTCGGGTGGTCTGGCAGGAGAGGGGGAAAGGAAGGCTACAAGCTACGAAAATTGCGGCACGTAGTTGGCTGGTTTCGGCCTTATTGCCAGGCACCGTACTCGATCGAGGCGCCCTGAAAACCAGCTTCGTGTAGCTGAGTCCTAGCATTGTCAAGCCGATCCCCATCCCCACAGGGCCATGGTGTATCAGCCTGACCATCTCCCCCCCCCCCAGTTGAGGATAGACCCCTCGAAACCCGAAGGTTCTATCCCCATCTGGGAGGGATAGATCGGTTATGGTAGAAGGGCCAGGGCCATGCCAATGGGGACGGGGATCGGTTGCGCGATGCTCAGAGTCGCCAAACCACTCCGTGCTTTCGGGAAACATACAACGACACAAGCATAACAACTCGGAGGGCCGCCCGTGTTTCTCGGATCGGCGCTGAACCCCCCTCCCTGGCGCGCGGCGCACGCCAGGGGCGGCACCAGAGGCGCCGCCAGGGGGCCCCAGCGCCGATCCGATGAAGCCGCGCGGACCTCCGAACTTTTCTGTTTCTGCTCTTGCTGGTTGCTCCCCTGAAGACCCTGGGTTTGCACTGCCTCCTCGTCTGCCTTGGCTGGCCCCTCCAGCGCCCCCCGCTGAGAGGCCACGGTCAGCGGCTGGTGCGGGTCGCCCGGCCACCGGCGGAACCTGCTGGGCCCGTTCGACGCGTGCGGAATCGGCTGGGCCGCGAGCGACGCCGGCACCATCCGGCCGACAGACACGCCGACCCCCTCTTTCGGGTGTTGCTAGAAGTGCTCCTGGCCCAAGGTGCCCCCAGGAGTCTCGGGGTGACCCAGAGGGCCTCCAGAGCACCCCTGACGAGGCCCTGAGGGCCCCAGGGGCCAAAGAATGGAGCGAAAAGCCGGGGGTACCTTGGGCCAGGGGCACTTCTAGCAACACCCGACTTTTCAGGTTCGAGGTGTTCGGGCGTTTTCGTCGGTTCTCTGCGGCTTTCCAGCCCCGGGGTGCTTCCCAGCAGCTGCGCCTCGCTGAGGGGGTTCTGGGAGTGCCCACGTCGTCCCGAATGGCCGCCGGAGAGCCGAGGCATGACCCGAAAATCAGGGGGCAACGTTGGATGGGGGTAGGCTCAGGGTGGAGCGCATCGCTTCCAGATCGCCCACTCATTCCAGGCAAGGGCCTCATGATTCGCCCCGTCGGATTCGCTATTTGGGCCTATTGCCGATCTATCGGCGATGTGTCGCCGGTTCCAGGGCGACGCGTCCACCCCTGAGGCGCCGCCCCCCATATGGTTGCCCCTAGGACCCACCGAATGCTGACACGCATGCTAATCAGAAGCGGAGGTTGGGGGGAGAGTTCGAAGTGAAACGGAGACCCCCACAGGGAAATCGGTTTCGGTGTTGTGTTCGTGTCGTGCGTGCGGGCGAGGCGAAGCTGCGTGGGCGGGCGAGAGGAATGGACCCGCCGTTGCTAGGTCGAAACTGAGCTTAATGACTCTACCCCCCAGTTGGCCCGCGGTGGTTCGGGAGAGTCCCGCCAGTGTCCCGTGGTGTCCCGTGAAGCGGTGTCCCGTAGTATCACGTGGTGTCCCGTGGTGTCCCGTGGTGTCCCGTGGTGTCCCGTGGCGCTGTGTACAGTGGTGTCTCGTGAGATCGATTTTGAGATCGATAGTGAGATCGATGGACAAATCGATAGCGAGATCGATAGTGATGCCGACCATGAGACCGATACATAGGGAGAGTGATAGATAGCGGGATATCGATAGTGAGTCCGATAGGTAGTTAAATAGCCAGAGCCAGCGAGTGATAACGCCAATCTGCCAGCGCAATCCTGTCCTCAGCGCCCACTCTCTATGAGCATGGTCTCGCACGCGTCTGCCACTGTTCTCTGTGAGCGGCTTGGCCGCGCTGCCGCTTCTAGACGGGTAGGCGAGTTCCGGTTATGTTGGCCATGTCGATTGCGGTATTTTGAAATCGGTCATTTGGATCGTAATTCGCATACTTATACGACCACCTTTTCTGAGTGATAAGGAGGTCGTATGTGCTGAGGGGATGACCAATTGACCACAACTGCGATGAATGTGATGGTTACGATGCTGGTGATGCGCCTGTGAGTTGGCGACGACGTGCGGCGGCGATGTTGGTGAACGTGCGATAGCGATGATGGCGACGCATGGCGACACCACCGTCGCGGTCAAAGAATGCAACCTCCAGTGACGGGTGACGATGGCCGTGGTAATGATGAGCGCGATAATGATAATAACGACGGTGATGGTGAGTACGATCGCGGCGATGCGCCCAGGAGATTTCTCGGAACGCAGGTCCACGCCAACGGGTTCCAGCAACAGTTTGGCGGAGCCTCGGCCCACACAGTCGGAGACGCACCTACGTCAGAGCGAAACTTTGGAAGGGCCAATGCCCACAGAGCCTAGAGTCTAATTTCCACAGGGCCCGGAGCCTAACACCTTGGCAGAGCTTAGGCAGAAACCCGGCAGAGCCTGGGGCTAGTACTTTGCAGATTTGTTAACATTTTGGGTGCATAGCGCGTCCCCGTTGGACTCAGGAAACGAATCGGCGTGGTCTGCCTCGGAAAGTCGAGTGCGTATGAGTGCGAGGCCACGGACCCCGCTCGAGGTCTCGCAGCGGCACCCTCCAGCGGCGACGCGTCGCCGCGGGTCCGCTTCGTCAGCGTGGCGCAGCCAGCGTGCGAGTCAAGTTCTTCACGCACCCCCAGACTGCAGACTTCGCCTCTCTCTTCTCCATTCGCGCACCGCTTCCAGCCTCTGCGCGACCTTTCGCTTCTCGCCCACCAGCTCCACTTCCCACTCTCTCTCCTCGTCGCGCTCCTCCACCTGGTCTGGCTCCTCGTCGTCGGAGCTGAAATGCCCTGGCGTTCCGGCGCAGTCAGACATTGTCGCCGCGTCCCGCTCGCCCAGCAAGTCCAAGTCTTCGCCATCTCGTCCTCCTCCTTCGCCGTTTGCAGCGTTTGCGGCGCGTCCAGATGTACGCCATTTTTGGGACGGTGCACCAGTTTATTGGCCACAACAGTGCAGATGTAGAAGGGCCGAACTTCCGCAACGTGAAGCTGATTTTGCAAGCACACGACTTGGCATTGGCTAGTACACTCTTTGATGCAGGTGCGACATACTTTGGAATGTCTTCTCAGGTGGTGAAGCGAATCGATTGTTTGGCTTGCCCACGGGGGTTATTTGAACATGTTCATGAATGCTTCGTCTCCATGAATACAGGGCGCAGGCTACACCACATCAGAAATTATGTTCCGAAATATAATGTTCCGCTCTACGCCTCCTTCGGGCACACCTTCGAACATCACCAACGCCACCAACTGCTGCATTTTAGCCAGGAGGCCTGCAATGCAGTATTGCTTTATGGGACAGGACGGGGACGGTTTGGGCAGCTGTGGAGGAGCGTTTGGCACAATGCAGGGTCCACTTCACTGACGGTGATGTGGATCAGATCAATGCAGGGCTGATGCATGTGGTCTAGGAGACAGCAGCGGAGTGTCTGTGCGAGGCCCCAGGCTATGTGGAGAAGCGTGAGCACACCTTCGCGCAGAGCCAGCAGCTTCAGGTGCGACTTGCAGCAAGGAGGCAGGCGGAGGAAATGGAGGTGGAGTTTCCCGAGGAGCACCAGCTGGAAGTTTGAAGACTCAGTTGACGTCTCAAGAAGTACAACCGAATTTTCTCAAGCAGTTGAACGAGGCTCGTATTGAAGGGCTCTGGGATGCGTGGCGGTCTCGTCGGTTTTGCGAGGCCCACGAGATTGCGAGGCTGTTGGCGGATACCTGCAGGGGGCCACAGGCTAGATTGTACAATCGGGTGGCGTCCACGAGGGCGTCGAGGGCGGACTGCATATCACGATTTCAATATCCTGGGGTGGAAAGCGGCGCCCAGGCGCAGCTGTTGGTGCAGAGCGAGGCACCACATGAGACGACAGGCTTCTGGAGACTCCCGTTTGCTGGGCCAGATGGTGTGGAACGCAGTCTTTACACACCATCACATGTGGAATGGACCAATCAGGTGGAAACTACTAACATGGATTTCGCTGCTATACGTGAGGACGCGCTGGTCACGGCTGCTCGACTGGAGAAGGGCGTAAAGAAGCTTCCTTCGGGGCGAGCACAGCCGCAACGGTCAGCACCAGGCGATATACTGAGTGTTCTTGCTACGCCGAACTGGTACTCTCGACCGCAGCGGGAGGCCTGGGACGACACAGAGACGATCCGGATCAGAAGATTCAGGCGCTCGGGTTTGAAAGGACTGTCTACTTGTTGTGTCGAGCGATACGCATTGTTGGGAGGGCGCCACCCGTGTGGCACCAGGCGTCCTGTTGCCGACCCGGCAAGAACAATGGCAAGCTGGGCACAGCAGGTGAGCGACCCATCATGGTGTCCTGTGGCGTGGGCAGGTCTTTCTACAGACCTCTGATGTTTCCTAATCTAGACTTCCCTTACGAGGTTCATGGGGGCATTTCTCATCGACGGAGGGAGGGTGCCATGCTTGTCCAACAGAATGGATCAGCACAGATTACGCGCTAGCATGATGCCAGCAAGGCTTTTTATTGCGTGCGCAAGGAAATGGTGGAACATGCGATTGCAGAACTGGTGAAGGAGGGCCAGGAGGATATTTTGTACTGCAGAGAGTATACAACTGTACATTTATCTTGACAGATAGACAGGAGAGTGCTCACATGGCCAATGGGTCAGGAGTGCTTCCAGGGATCATACAGCCATTAAATTGTTCGTCGAAGCGTACAAGTGCGGCATGCGACGCACGCGTGGGATTTTCATTCAGGATTTGCGGCAGAGGGCGCGACACATGATGATGCCCACCGCTGCCCGGGCTCCAGATGACACGAGCATTGTCGATTTGGCAACGCCCACATTCGTTGATGATGCGCCTCGGAAAATCATGGGCGCAGACCAGAATCATGCGCAGCGCGTGGCAGAATGGGAGAACAGGGTGTTTGACTACGGGTTGGAGGAGGTAGCAGGATCCCCAAATCGAGATGCACAACGTAATCTGGTTCAGGGAACAGGGGCCCAGGCAGCGAAGCTCAATCGTGATTTTCATAAAACAGGGCCGCTCGAGCTGGAGGGAACAACGGCGTCTGCTGCCAGGTACCTCGGGGGCCAACATCATTTCAATAATGGGTTTTCGGCTGACAAACAGGTCTGCCTTCAAGCTGCGAGACCTGCATTGCGCAATATAGGGGCGTGTTGGACGACGTCGCAGGTTTCCCTGAGGTTCAAGGGGGTCGTCTTCCTGGGAGTTGTCGCGAACGCGGCCCTGCCGGGTCTGGAGTCGCGCGCCCCCGCCGCAACGAACCGATCCCCCGGCAGAGTCTGGAGCCGTTGCAGCAGATTTCGTTTCAATTCGCGCGTGTCGTCCCACGAGGGCAACGCGCTAAACGGAGAGGTGATGAAGCGCGTGCGCCCAGTAGCATTGCGGTAGGCCCAGAGGTTGCTGAGGTCCAGCAGTCTTTTCGTTGGGCCCAGGATCCGTCGACTGAAGTGGCCGCGCGACATCGCAACCCACCGGCGTGCTCATCGACAGGACATTGCCGCTCTGATTGGACAGGCGCAGTGTGAGGCCACGAATCTAGAGGCGCCGAGTACAGGCGAGGTTCTTCCCGCGGCCCTGGCGCGGACCAAACAGATCTGGTCGGGCGTGCAAGCGTTGTTTGAGCTAGAAGCAGGGGGAGAGCTAGAGACTGAACTTGAGGGCAGGTTTTTACAGC